CATTTATGAAGTTTTTGCATGCAATCAGAACACCTCCACCGTGTCTGTTACGATCTTTACGATGAACACAGTAATCTAACGGAAATATTTCAGCACTATTAACCGATGTATCCAACCAAGTTTCAGTCAAAAATACAATGTCAATAGCATTATCAATCCGTACCTGAAGTTCATGTATCTTGTTGACGATACTACGAGCGTTGAACAAAGCAATTTTAATGCTGTTGGGCCTGGGAATCTCCTTTACAACATTTTTTGGGCCGGGGTTTGCTTCAATATCACCAGCAATCAAAATATCTAAATTAAAACATGCTGTGTGATTACTGTAATAAGTGACTGGATACGATAAAAACTTACGATGCCTTCTAGTAGTATTGACGGTTAGTTGTTCTAAACCGGTCCAAAAGGTATGCGAACTTACATGTCGATGTATTGTGATTGGCACCTGGTCGCTGCTCAACGTATCGGAAAACCGTTGGCCTAGCGATTTTAGTGACAGTAGAAACCCCATTTTTGTCAAAAATATCATTGAATTCACTGTAATTTTCAGGCAGATGATTCCATCGAGCATACTGGTTATTATATACTTTACAGTGGTTCGTATTGAAGCCATTAAGGGCCGTAACACTACCAAAACAGACGAGAAACACGAAGAACGTTGCTGCTTCCATAGTTGCTGCTTCCAGATGATGGTATAGAATTACAGGAAAATTACTCAAATATTTTTTGGAAGAAGACAACTTACAGGGACAGAGGTTAAAGAGGTTGCATCCAGCCAACCCCACCCTCCCCCCACCTTTTAATTTTTTTTAATTTACAATTTACATACTACTATGGGGAAGTATGTAGAACAGTGGAATGGTTTTGGGGCTTCGACTGAAAACTTGTGAGCTCGAGAATATCACATTGTTCCTGTCCTTAGCCAGGACACTTTATATCTACATTTGTCTATCTTCACGAGAGCAGAAATTGGCACTCGATAGGACATGCGATGTGGAATGTATTTGGTCTTTCTGTGCTCAATTTACAGCTTCATGCTGGCAACTGAAAATTACCCAGGGAGTGGATGTTGCATATGGGGCATGAAGACCTGCCATGTGTCCCGCATTCAGCGTCAAAGTCAGTCATAAAAACTCTCCCTGTGAACTCTACATGGAAGTTTTTATTTCAGGCCATCGACCAAGGCCTTGTCAGCCCTTTGTCTTGGAACATGTCCGACGCCTTGTCTCCAATTTCTGGTGTCATCGCTGATCCAATGAAAACACTAATAAGCCTAGTGATGTATATAGGAACAGATTATTCTTGTCAAGATTTCATTTGTTTATAATTATTATTATTCTTTATAAAATCACAACCAATTTCAAGCTGACCATTTAGGCTAGGCCTAACTGCTTTAACAAACTGAATACAAACATTTGTTGTTATTTATTTCTGCATCTTTATTCATGCCATTTCTTTCATATACTTCAGTTCGCTTATTTATATGCTTCATTTTGCTTATATACTATATATACTTGTACTTTATATTATATTATATTATATTATATATATATATATTAATTTAATATTACCTTCAATTTATGACAAGTAGATGTAGATGACCCTTCCTCACATAGGTAGTCTTCTATATTCTTTGGTTCATTTGACTTTTGAGTATGGCTTGTTGCTTCTGATTCCAATTTTACTTCTGTTGAAGTACCTTGCTGCTTTTTCTGTTGCTTTTTTTCCTTCCGTAACACTTTGGCTTTTTTCTGCAATGGTTTACTTGGATCTGGACCAATGCCTACAAACAGCATAAAAATAATAACAATTGTATATTTTTACACATCTTTGGCCTTATTATAATAATCGTATTAGAGTTCACAAGGCTCCAATTCGAAACCCTTTTAATTTGAAATCATTTTTTTCAAAGTATTAACATTCAATCTTACAGAAAGCTTACCTTCTGTTTGAAGACCAAACCCTGGGAACACCCAGCATTTTCAGGCCCCAAAGGTGGTCTTGAATTTGAGGGCAAACTTTACTTTTAAAAAAGCTCAATATGTATACAAATTGAATGGTTTTACACATCTTGAGTCTTTTTAAAATAATCATACAACTTGGTGAGGGTAACCATATTCACATTTCTGGAGCAGTGGATAGAGATTGTAATCGTAGTTTAAGCATGGAAGTATTATTGAGATCACTCGGAAAAACTCCACGCACACAGCGAACTCCACGCACACAGCGCTATGCAAATAAGCTGAGGACAAAGCTGCCGCAGCACATGAAAAACGTTTGAGATGTCTTTGAAGTCTAATGTGTTCCCTGCCACCAAAGTACGGCGGGCTTAGCTTACCAAAAAGTTGAACATGGAGAAATGGGGAGCACTTTCTTTTCTTAACGCGCACCACTTACAGTGGCTGCACAATCGTTTCCACCTTGAAGCTAATGCTTTCAAGAAATACCAAATATGTTAATATTTTCTACAAAAAAGAGTTTCAAATTTAATGTAGGGTATATTTCAACTTGAATTTCTATAAATTGGATGAAACTTGATGATTCCAATTTCAACAGATATTGATTAAGGAATGATTGAGGATTATAATAAACTAAGTCATTTTAGAGTTAACAAGATTTTACTGTTCAAAAATTCAATCCAAAGTCTGAGTAATTTTCGGTTTTACTTCGCCTCAGCTTTATAGTCGAACCAGTCAAATCTTTAGACAAAATTATAATGAACACAAAGCTGATTGCAACATAAATATTTTGTGAAATCTGATTCTGAAATATACAGTACATACAACATACTAAAAAACCCAATCAGGGGAACATTGTCAATTTTAAAATCAAATGATTTATCACACAACTACTGCGTGTTGAAGTGTATAAAAGTCTGCTGTTGCCAAGTAGTTGTCAATGAAAAAAATGTTAGTAATAAGGTAGACGCCTGCGCACGATCCAAAGACAGGGAACACATTGGTTTCTCACGTCAAAGGGATCTATTGCCGAGTGATCTCCTTCTCAATAATACTTCCATGGTTTAAGCAACCTTAAAGCCTCGTCTCTATACAATTGCTACATGCTATTGCCGACAGCTTTCAGTGATGCTAATTTGTCAGTCAAAGTGGGGAGCCTTCCCGATTACATCGGGGACTGCTAAACAGAACGCAGTACAACGATCGCACTGAAAACACTGTAGCAACAGTGTAGCGATTTTAGGGAAACCAGGCAGAGTAACTTCGGTCCTCACATGACAACACTACTATGGAATTTTCATTTGTTTACATGTTCATTTTTGAGGTGTTTTTTTTTTCACAGTTGCAGTCTTGAGATATATTAAAGAATGGTGCTCAGACTACGGAGAAAATATATTAATATTTTCTCCATGGTCAGACAAACTGATTCCTCTACCTGATCTGGGAGATTTTTTATGACTACTGCGTGTTGAATTTGACTGATTAATTGAGCTGCTTGCAGCACCTCCATCTTTTGTACAACTTGAACTTTGACCTTCAGGTACAGCAGCTTCTTTGGTTTCCATGTGTACTTCACCCGTAGAGGCCTCTTTAGGTGTTTGGTCTTCAGGTTTGTTAGGTTCGCTAGCAACTGAACCTGTTTCTAGGTACTTGCCCATTTTAAGCATAATCTTCCTTTGTGACCTGCTAGGTTTAAAGTTCAGCACTTCACATCGAATAGTGTATGCAGGGCAGCATGTTGCATCCATGGTTGGTTTATAGACATATTTTCCACTCCTAAAAAATTAGATTTGGATTTTTAAAAATCATCATTAAATATTACTGTAAAAATATTACATTCATATCCTTTTATTATTAAAATACATTTTATACACTACTTTTTAAAATGTATTTACAAATAAATCATAAGCCAAAGATTGACGAAAAATAAGCAAATATGAGTTTTGACATTGATACAAGCATGCACAATTCAAACTATGAATTTGCTTATTTAGTTGCAGGAGAAAATAAACTTCATTTTAATCATTCATAGACAATGATAGACTGATTAATTAGAAAGTTACTGCTGATATTATTATTATCATTTTCATTTTTTCCCTTTATTCATTATTATCTCAACTTTATAAACACAGGAACTGTACAGATAACAGGCCCGTAGCCAGGGGGTTCCTGGGGTTTGCCCTAACCCCCTTTTTCAGTGAACCCCACTTTGACTAGTAAACCCTTGTGACTTAAGCAATTAACTTAAGCAATTACATTACTCTAAAGTGTTTTACAAGTCTCTTATTCTGTCTCAAAATTAACTTGCTTGTTGGTGGCGCTGTCCACAATGAGAAAAAATAATAATAAGGGACTTGTGGCAAGTCTAAGGTCCTGCATACTAGAACTCTTACTCATTTGCATTGGATAACCACAAAAATGTATTTCATATTAAACTGTTAGAAGTATTTAAATATATACCATAAACACGCTTTAAAAGTGCAAAAAATCAGTGGCTTCTGGGGCTTTGCCCCCGGACCCCACAAGGGCTCTTTGGGCTATGGGCCTGGATAAACAATAAGTACAAGGGTGGAAAGAAACCAACATTATTGAGAAACGATTTCCAAAATCACTGTTACAAATAACTGGGTCAAACGCCAAGTCCCAACATAAACACAAGATATGTTGGTATAAAGTGCTCCACACAACTCAGTCTCAAAGCCACTTTGTCTTTCAGATGGGACATAAACAGTTGTGTAACAACTAGTGATGGGCCCGTGGAAGAGAAAAACTGAACATGTATTTCCAGGTATTTATTAAGCATACATTTTTGAGAGGATGCTGCCCGACTCACCTCCCTCTTCTATCGTGTGTATTCCCACAATAGCGCCTCTCACTTTGCACTCTACTGAAAAACCAGTGCTCCCTCGTTTCAAAAATTCTGGCTAAAAGATTTGTCAAGGCTCTATATAATCAATTGGCCTATTTTTCAATTTGAAGTTTTTCTTATGACAATTTTATCATTCCAATCTTTATTTATGTTTATATGTGTGCTGGATAAGGACCATCAATTTGAAATAAAGTTGAAAAATACTGCACCTGCAGTATGCTGGGTAGAATTATATGAAAAGATTGGGCCCCCTTTTGGTTAGCGGCCTGGGGCTTTAAGCCATTAGTTCCATGAAAAATGTTTCTGTGCATGACAAAGAAAATTTACACTACCCGAATTCAGAAAAGAATAGTGAAAGTGAAAGGAATTGCTGATTACACAGTGATATGCACAGATGGCAATCAAAATGAAAATCACTATAATATTTATCTTTATTATCTTTGTTTATACCTTCTCCATCCTCTGTCAATCAAGTCCTGGTAGTCTTGAGTAGTTAGTTTATGTGCCCACATACCTGTACAGAGAAACATGTTAACATTGAACACTTAAATACCTTAACAACTGCACTACCAATTATATATGTTTCGTATTTAAAAATATAGTTTTATAGTAAATAAAATGAAGCAATGGAAATGAGGGAAAGTATCTTAAAGAAAATCCGAATATCACTGGTTCGAATTCCAAATTTGGTTGCTTCTGTTCTACAACAGTAATACCTTATTCAACCATAAACTTAAAATTGTTATTTAGAAATATATGGACAAATTTATGGTGGATTAAGGGTGCTGAAGCAAAAAAAAAAAAAAATCCTCTCTGTCCTTTTGTTTCTTTTTTAGATCTTTGGATATCATATTCCATTTATAAATCAACATCCAGCACTGACCAGCCTACTAGTACTATCTACTACGGCAATGTCTAGGACACTCCCCCACACTGACTTTAATTTAGCATCGTGTGTTAAAAAATTCAGTTAGTACGCAAGGAATAATGATGGAAGAAATAAGCCCTATCTAAGTACTTACTTACACATCATAATTATTATTATTATTATTATTATTATTATTATTGTGTGGCAGCAGTGGTAGACTAGGCCTTGGCCTAGCTAGCCCAGCACTAGCAGAGAGGAAAACGAAGCAGGCCTTGTTAGCGCCGCCTTGTCCTTCCTTTGAACCTAGCTCTAGGCCTAGTAGCCTAGAGGCCCGGCATTAAACCTGGATTGTGGGGGGAAAATTGTATGCTTACCACGTGAAAGATTGGTATCCTCTGAACGACAATAACCACATCTTGATCCAGTTTCACTATCCCTAAAGAAGTATTCAACAATACTAAACTCTTGACGCCTACTCATGCTCATGTTTACTTTCTGGTCCTCTTCGACATCCCCCGATGATCTCTGCAAAAACAACGCTCGCGGTCTTTACTTCTTAGTGGTAGCCATGGACAATGTTATTTATGAATATGTATGAGCAACATTATGCCTACCTCTTTATGCTACTCTTTAGGCGAGACTATAAATAAATAATATATTATGCAGAACTTTTATAGCGCCTGTTAGAAAAAAATTACTTGTCACTCGCGCTTAAAGATACGAAATTATAGATTGTTTCGGTAACTTATTTCTTAAGATTGTCAGAGGAAGCTGGAAAAGCTGAGAAAAATAATATTTCGTTTTTTATTTAGCAAATAGGCAAAAACATCCCAGCCGGAAGAGGAAATGAAAACAACATTTTATTGGATTGGTCAATGTAAACAGTGTAGTAATGGGATGGTTAAATGCTTTAAATATTTCAAGGCAGCGAAAGTAAAACTTTATTTTTTTCAGTTAGATTTTTTGTAGTGGCGACGGGTGAGCTAATTGGCCAAATAAAATTTTATTTTAATTTTAAATCATCATTATTGTCGGGTTTCGGGTTCGTAAACAAGGTATAAAAGAGTCCAGGATTTTTCACCCATTCTCTATTCAAGTTTTATGTGAGAAATCATTATGCAACCTTCCAAATAAAGTATGGGAGAACCCCACACAATATATGTGTTTTTCAAACCAACAATGTTAATAGATTTATACACACCCCGGATGAATATTTCAACACACATAAAATTGTTGCGCATTATGCAACCCCCTCAATTAATCCGATTTTAAATTTTGAGTTTACGAAATATTTATTACTTGATTTAATTTTATATCGGTTTTGTGAACTTTTGTGAACGCTACTAAGAAGTAATGACCTTTGAGCTTTAGCCGTTTTGAGTTGAGCAGATTCCTAACGCGTTTAATAACATTCGTGCGTCAACATAATATTAATACAAATTGAACTATTGTACTTGCAGGAGGGGAACAAATTATATACCGTATGCGTTCCTAAACCGTTTGAAACTGCAGTTTAATTTATTAGAATTAGAATTCAAGGAGTTAATTGATACAGAATGAGGTAAGCATCGATGCGATATCCTCCCTCAAAATCCTGAAAAGAAAACACAAAACACGAGGAATATCTTTCTATGATCCGATCCCCGGCCCGGCCTGAGCCAAGTAATAGTGATTTCTATGGTCGTGGTTGGGGATAGGCCTACATATGGTATGAATCATGTCTAGTGCTTTTTTTTATTTGCTTTCAACATGTCTACTTGGTAAAAGTGAGAAAATAGTAGGTGTTTCCCATCGGACCATCTTTGGATTTTCGCCATCTCCAAGTTAAAAAAGAAAAGTGCCCTCATTCTCTTTTTTCAAAATATTAGGACGAGAAACTTTTTTTCTTTAAATTTCTATTTCCCTTTTGTTGAACATTTCTAATAATACATTTCTGTATTATTTAATTGTTGTAGTGATGTAAGAAATACAGTTAAAATATATGTGATCAAGGAAATGACTATCGCAAGTTAAACCGAGGCAATTTATTTAGTTGACGCAGTATGCGTTTATAATGTGATTTAAAGTTTCTGTAACGCAACGATTTGACCATGATTGGCAGGTACATAGACTGGAAAAAATGGAATCCTTTGGAAACCATGCGGCCGCTGGTGGTAAGCTTGATAGTTCGCAACGAGAGCAGTTGATGGGCCAAGTGAAGTCACAAATAGCTCTAGCCAATGCTCAAGAATTACTGCAAGTAAGTTTTATTACGAAGATTCTTACTACTAATTCAGACAACAGAGAGAACATGTATGGTGGCTAGGCCTAGTACTAGGCCTACTACTACTAGGCCTAGGCCTACTGTGTCTGTACTCTCTAGCCTACCCACCACAGTACAGTACGTGCAGGCAAACAAGAGGAGCAGCTTTGATTGATTGAGTTACTTGACCTCTGGGAATGGGCCTATATCGCAGAACTACTTCTTTGTACACGCACTAATGCACTTTTGCACCTAACTTTTAATTCTTTTTTTTTTTACCTCAATTTTCTTCTCACAGTCACAACATAATTACCAAACATTTTTACATGATTCAACCACTCACAAAATAGTCATACATAGGCCTTAGGCTATTTCAACAAAAAAGGTACCTTTATTTTTATATACAGGTTGAGTGTTTCCGCGCTTGCTAGCACAACGAGCTGTAGGCCTACTATTTTGCAATCAGTAAGAAATTGCAAGAATGTCTGAGTCAATTCTTAAATTTTGAAACAATTAAAAGGGCAGTCTTATAAATTTTAATCGGAATTTTTCCATGAAACATCCGGCAACAAAATGTGGCATCATGCAATACCATCTTTTTGTTTAACTTTCTTTTCATAATCAAGGTTTATAAAACTGCCGTTTAGCATTGGTTTGGTAATTGTTCTGCTTGATTATGTCGTAAATAGGCCTAGACCCTATTTGTATATCGTATCTGTGTATGCATTTAGATCATTGCTAATTTTTGTGAATTTCATATGAACACACATCATAATCAAACAACAACACCATACAATGTAACGCATAACTGAAATGACATACCAACGCAAATAAATAAGTTTTCATAAATGTTTAATAGCATAAAAAACTTCACAGTGTAAACTCGGACATTCTCACAATTTCTTACTGATTGCAATATGGCAGCAGCTCGTTGTGCTAGCGAGCACAGAATTTCTGTATTTATTCGTTGAAAAAGGTACTTTTAAGTGGTTGAAACATGTGAACATGTTTAATAATTATATGTTGTGACTGTGTGAGAAGAACATGTTAGGTGCGAAAGTGCATTAGCGCCACACATACCCTCAATGGTTATTAATTTGAAATTTTTCCATTATTTTCAGAAAATGACGGATAAGTGCTTCAAAAAATGTATATCCAAACCAGGAACATCCCTTGATAACTCCGAACAGGTAATTTAATTTGATCAGTTATGTAAAGTAGCCTAGAGTAATTACTGTCTGCTACAAGTTAGGCCCTAAAAAATATTATTAGTTTATCACACTTATCTAGGCTGCAGAAGGGGTGAGGGAATGAGAGTTTTTTTTTTGGTTTTTTTTTATTTTGCTAAAGCCAAGTATCACCCTTGGGTTGTTTGCATTGATATTCAAAGTAAAACATGATTGAGATAATGCAAACAATATCTACTAACTATTAATTAAAGAAATTTTGAAAATAATAATTTTTTAAAAAGTACTATAAAAGACATGCATGCGAGGGTGATAAACTAATAATTTTTTTTATAAATAAGTTTTATGTAAAAAGTGCATGAACGTTTTTACAAGCTCAATGTCAGATTTTTACCATAAAACATGCAATGTTAAATCAAAAACTCACATGATCCCATTTGTATGCCCACCCCTCTTTTAGTAGAACATTTGAGTGTTTGTAGAAGATTTGACCACCTTTATATGCTTTTTTTTTGTTTCGTTTTTCAGAAATGTATTGCAATGTGCATGGATAGGTATATGGATGCCTGGAATACGGTGTCCCGAGCCTACAATCAAAGGTTACAACGAGAACGCAATCGATGATAATGGTGGTCTTTGGGAACACATTATATTGAATTTATCTAGTCGTTTTCTTTTTAATAATTAAACTGTACGAACATAAGAATTGACACTGCTCTTGAATCATTTGAAGTGGAATTTGTGTTTATTGTACAAAGATTGTATTTCAGTACCATGTACTGTATATTGTTTATTAAAGGATAAACAGAGGAGTTGAAAGTGTCAGTGGCATGGAGAATTATGAAGAGAGATTATAGCAAGCAGTAGCTATTTTGTTTAAGGTTGCCCAAGGCCAACTGACCCAAAAGCAAACTTTTTTATAATGTAAATGTAAGGAGCTCAAAATATTTGTAAACTCTAATATGAAAATGGCATTTTTCAAGCTTTAACTCATAATATTTGACCATGGATTTAAGCCCATCAGTTTTCATTTTACTAAGCAAAAAGTATTAGATGAATTCGAGAATTAGGAAGAAACATACAGTAAAAACAAATGTGACTGAATTACTTTCAGTCTGCTTGGGTAACACTATATTTGCTTAGCTTATACATATTAACATTTCCTTATCAAGTTGTATTGAGGGAAATGGCATTACATACAATGTGAGAGATCAAAGTTCTAACTTGACATTATTGATGTTATTATTATTAGAGTTATTATTAAGAATTTACTACCAATAACGATGATTAACAAATGGTGCAGTACAAATCAAGCATTCAAATGTCGTTTGTGATACAAAATTACAAAGCAT